TATATCTTCCAATTGTATTGATGAGAGTCAAGTGATACTGAAGTAGAAATTGACTACTTTAACTTCTGTGTAGACATAGTGTTTGTATTCATGAGGTCCTGCTTTGTCCTGTAATAGGATTACACAGATAGGGGGTCTACAGCGCAGATGAACCATTGTTCAGTTGCTGCCTGGAAAATCACATCACAACACACAGACCTGGTTTTGATCACATTTCAGCAGGCAGGAGTTAACCTACTCATGCCAAATGACCAATAGGATTGCGAAGTGTTGAGTATAGTACCTCTGTCCAGGGCAGAGCAGCCCAAGAAGATAAATGTATTGTTAAAACATAATTCATGGTTCAGATGACAGATCTCCTGCGGGAGCTCTGTCGCTCTGATCCCAGCGCTGTAATGACTTCACTGTGCCCAGACTTTGAGTAAACTTCCTGTTGATTTTATACAGTCCTCTCCTGTCTTCACTTCTCATGCTTTCAATAAAAGAATTTGGGTAGAATCTAATAATGTGACAGTGCCTACAGCACTCAGATCTCTACAGTTCCTTAGGAATCCAAGCAACTGTCACATGACTAAGGCAGCACAAGGCCAGTGAGCTCAATCTTTTACAGTCGCTTGTCCTATTCAAGGGTTAAAAACTAAAGGCCAATTTGCAAATCCCCTCTCACCCTGAGGGCATGAGATGGAGGAAGGGAATGCCCAATTTCACTCTTAAGAAGCCATTAGGATGCAGGACCTCATTAAGCTTTGAACTTTCACAGGCCATAAGTTCATTAAGTGCCCAACTTTTAGAGGTTAATTGATGTAATCACTGCCAAAGTGTTTTAAGAAGAAGGGAAGATTCGGCTACAAACAAATTGAAACCTGAACGTGATGGGCAAAAGACTTCTTAACCTTTTCCAAGAGTTGTTTTCAATACAAGTCTCAGCTAATGGGCCCCTAAGAATGGATGACAACGCAATGAAGCTGCCGAGTTGCTCTCATTTCTGTTTGACCTAATCAATCCCTCATTGTTTTAATGGGTCGCTAAACTGGTGTAGTTTTGGATTCATGCACAATGAACAGCTGCAAGTATTTTCAGGTTGAGGAAAATATCTGGAAATCAGATTGTGCTCAACATTCAGTAGATGTTGAAACACTGTTTCCTTCTGAATTTAGATGGAAACTAATTTACCATTTAAAGTATGCTTTGGCTGCAAATGAATTACTAATGAAGTATACACAGTGGTTTATTAAAGTATTACAGTGAAATGGGGCAATGTTTTGCTTGATGTTGAACTACCATGAATAAATTATGTTAGATTCAAATATTAAGATGCACTAATTATCAGTGACAGGTGATAATAAGTACGTGGAACCAGGATTTCAACCATTTTCAGTTGTAACCCAAAAGAGATCATATCCAGTAGTGCAAGCTCACTTCCACACCTCAGTCTCTGGCATAGTGCACTGAAGTCCACTTAGCTGTAACTGCAGTACCTGTCTTTGTCACTGAGGCATCTCCCTCTGTGCCCTGATTGGGACCAGGTGGACTTTTATGATAATCAATGGATTTTCTGACAGATGGAGATAAACCTTTCCACACAGATACACACAGACAAAAGAGAAACAGTGGCTCAATACTCATCTTAGTCAGATTAGAAGGCTACATTAATAATGCAACATTACAGTTCTGTAATGTCTGTACAATTTGAAAGCCAGTGACCACTGAAGTTTGACATGATATTAGATCAGCTATGAAATGCATAAATATACAGTGGGTACCAAAAGTATTCAGACCCCCTTAAATTTTTCACTCTTTGTTATATTGCAGCCATATGCTAAGATCATTTTAGTTCATTTTTTTCCTCATTAATGTACACACAGCACCCCATATTGACAGAAAAACACAGAACTGTTGACATTTTTGCAGATTTATTAAAAAAGAAAAACTGAAATATCACATGGTCATAAGTATTCAGACCCTTTGCTGTGACACTCATATATTTAACTTAGGTGCTGTCCATTTCTTCTGATCATCCCTGAGATGGTTCTACACCTTCATTTGAGTCCAGCTGTGTTTGATTATACTGATTGACCGTGATTAGGAAAGCCACCCACCTGTCTATATAAGACCCTACAGCTCACACTGCATGTCAGAGCAAATGAGAATCATGAGGTCAAAGGAACTGCCTGAAGAGCTCAGAGACAGAACTGTGGCAAGGCACAGATATGGCCAAGGTTACAAAAACATTTCTGCTGCACTTAAGGTTCCTAAGAGCACAGTGGCCTCCATAATCCTTAAATGGAAGACGTTTAAGACGACCAGACCCTTTCCTAGAGCTGGCCGTCCGGTCAAACTGAGCTATCGGGGGAGAAGAGCCTTGGTGAGAGACGTACAGAAGAACCCAAAGAAGACTGTGGCTGAGCTCCAGAGATGCAGTCAGGAGATGGGAGAAAGTTGTAGAAAGTCAACCATCACTGCAGCCCTCCACCAGTCGGGGCTTTAGGGCAG